CAGGTTTTAGCTACTGTGATTACGTAAGTGAAATATGAGTTTTCGGTTTATGATACATCAATTTACTGATCTGGTCGAAGTGGCTAAAATTGCTAATTAAACCATACTGAAACCTTGTTGATTTTACCGCAATTAATTTGAAAATTAAGATAGATTATTTAGCAAAAATAATGTCTTTTAACTTTTAACTTTCCGAAACACATATATACATATTGCCGAATCTAGAAATTTCATTGGCTGGCTTTGACCATTTTTTTCCCGCAAAATTATAAGTCCCAGATCTCTTAAATTTCTTTTAAAAATTATTTAGCATTATAACTCATAAGCTGCAATAGATTTTTTGACTTAGAAAATTTCAGCCAAAATCTGAAAAAGTATCCTTCGGGTAGCCATGATGTCCATTTTTTAAAGGAAGATGTTTGCCAGCCCAAAATTTATCTTGTAAAAGAACACAGACTCGGTATGATGATGAGGAGCACGTGTTTCGAAATCAAAATCACTATTTTAATTCAACTTGGCACAGTATTGTAACTGTTTGTTTAGATTGAGCCCTCCCATTAGCTATAACTTCCTCGTTTATTTTAATTTGTCGTTTCATTGATCATGACTCTTCTAAACGTTCTTTGATTAAAACAGGATGTTAAGAGCGGACGAATTTCTATAAAAAGAATAAAAAGAAGCAACTTAATGAGAAAATAATGCAAAATGACGCAAATATACCATAAATGACAGAGTACGCCTACCAATAAATCAAAGAAAGTTTTGCGTAAATTTTTGAGTTCAATAGCCAACTGCGATGCAAATTCTTCCTTTTAAATTATTCCTTCTTCAAAGAATGATGAAAGCTGTCGTCAGAGATTTATCGATTGATACGGAAGTAATCTACGTCAAGAAACTTTCTGACTGAAAATAGGTGAATAAGATAGGTGGATCGAATGAGATGAAACGTAGGGGCTGCTCAGAAAACCAGGATGACAAAAAAAGCCACTTAAGAAAATTCAGTACTCGAAAACTTGATGAGTTGATGTTAATTTAACTTGAATTTAACAAGTTTTTGTTCCGACTTTCGATACGAAAGTAACGGAATATTTGTGCTCGGGGTGGGTTTTTTTTCTTCAGACAAATTTCGACTTTTTAACTAGCCATTTTTGACCGAACTTTTTCATATCATTCGAAAGGTATTGTTGTCCTGAGCTCAAATTTGAAAAGATATTTCACCTGTGATAATTTTTCGTGAAGTTATGGGGGTTTAAAGATTGCCATTTTGGCCAATTTTGGACAATTAACGCGTGATATGTATCGCGCTATTAACGCGTAAACGGAGATTTAATCCGTCTTAGAAATCGTTCCAAATTGGTTAAAAGAAGTTTATTTGACATAATTGGTTTGTTACAAAGAGCGAAATTTATCCTTTTGTACTTTAAATGGCGTGTGGGGGGATGATTTTCATAAAAAATTTCAAATTTTTGAAAAAAAAAATTTCATTTTTTTTTTTTAAGTTTAATTTTTTTTGTGATTACTGCTTATGAAACCTCAAACGGCAGTCGGAACATTCAGGGCTTCGCCCTGATACGAGCAGTCTTGTTTATCCTGAGTCTTTTTTGTTTGAAGCTCTAGAGTTAGTTTACAGTCGCTCACTCGGCGTTAATTTTTTAAAACAAGAGTCTAAAAACTCACTACAAACACAAGTGCTAAATTAATTCATATATCGTATTTTTTACAGATTGAAAAGTTTAAATAATTGACCTTGGAAAAGATTTTATCACCTGGCAATGTTGAATAAATTTGAAATTTGACAACAAAACGAACTTGAAATTATAGTTTCGAATCATAATATTATAACTAAATCCGCTTAAAAACCCAAGGATTTCGTTGGGTTGATCTAACCTGATTATAATGAGTTAAAATTAGGAGAACTTTTGGTATTTAAAGTTTTGGGGTCTGGCTACTCTGCGAACAATTTTTCCAACAACCATTCGACTTTATTTTTTCGTCCTTCAATTTCTTGATAAGTTTTGGAAAAGAAAGGTGCTTGTTGGTTTTCAGTTTCTCAAACTGTTCACAGCGCTGTTAGTGCGAGGAACGTTGTTTTCTCATTTTGATGGTAATTCCATAGCTCTATGTCAAATTTGAGCATCTCTCGTCCCAGTCTGCTATTATATGTGTCACCGAAATAGTAAAATATCGATTCATTTTTTTAGCTAAAACAGCTTGAATAAATTTTAACGCAGCGAAAACATATTTTACGAGCAGAAAAGCTGCTCAGAGAAGCAATCAAATTACTTTGTAAATTTTAAAGTCATTAGAGTTGGCTTTGTAATTTTGAGTGGCTAATAGCTGAACATGTTGCCAGATTTTTTAAACTCAAATGCGAGAAACAAATTCGAATTTGAGCGCTCTGATGACTAGCCTCTATTGAGTTTTGCTCAACTATTTCAAAAAAATTTTCAACGCAGTTTGGGGACTCCAATTTGAGGATTTTGTGGCGGCAAAACTAAGTTAATTCCTTTTTGTCGGCAAATAGAGCGTAAACAAAAAGTAAAAGCATCCTCCAACCAAAGCGTTTGTTGTATATTGTCGGTAGAATACATTGGGAGCAGTCAAAAGTATTCCAGCCCAGTGCAGAAACAAATATCTGATAGTGCAAGTACCCTATATTCATCCTTGGAGCCATAACTGTGCAAAAAAAATTGCTCTCAGTTGTGATTTTTTTTTTGCAGGACCAGACGCTATTCAAAGCCAATCAGCGAAGTTGGCTCTGCAATTTTTTTTAAAGCGACAAACTTTACTTATAGCTTCTTGATTGGCACATTAGCTTGGTAAATGGGCAAAAGTAATTGATTTGTACTCCAATTTAGTGATGTCAGTTATTTGCAACCGAAACATTTTTAGTATTTCATCTAATGAGTTGACACTTATGTTTTCTAGATAGTTTTTGTTTCTTATTTCCTTGTTCTACTACCTATTATCATCCGACTTAATTAGAACCGAAACTTTAATCCGAGAGAAATTTTCTTATCAGTTTCTGGCTGGCGCAATTCACTTCGACCATTAATAATGTTGTTTGGATCGATCTTGTGAACTGCTATTGGAACTGTGTTTTTGAGACTGCTTTTTGGGCTTCGACATAATTTTCCAGACTGCTCAGTACAGGACTGACTTCTATTGGATTGTTTGTACAGACACGCTATCAAATGATCTGGAAATGTTCCGCCAAAAATTGCTGTCTTGAGCAAAAACTACCCCGAGCACAAAAGTTCTTCAAAATCTGGAACTGAAATTGCATTATTTGCACAAAAAGTTAAAAATTTTTAGACAAATTACTGAATTGAAACAGTTTGTTGGTACCTGATAATAATTTTCATGGCTTTTAATGACAAAGAACTGAGTATTCGGTTATTTTGTCTATTCTTCGCAAAATCAGGTACCAAAATCAGCCGTGTCAACTAAATTGATGGAATTTAGGAAATTAGAATGAAAAAAAAATCTACGATCAAAAAACAATTGAATTTGGACCATAAATTGCGTGAAAGTTTTTCAAGGAATTAAATTAAATTTTGTTAAGTAAACACTGATTGTCTAACCACAAATAAGTTTTTAAGGTCATAGTTGTGTAAATTATTTATTTTAAGCATGTACTAAACTTTTTTCATTTTTTATATATTATAAATTAGCTTACAAAAATATTTTTTATCAGTTCTACGATAATATTCTCTTTTTGTTTTTGTGTAAATTTAACCTTCATAAAAAGTTTTATTGGCCCAGTTCTCAGCGTTTAAACTCACAAAGAATTATCGTTTAAATTCAAGTCTTTTACGGTCGTCGAATTTGCTTGTCCTCTATTTTCTTAGGCTCTTTGACAACTATTTCGATCAATTTTTTTGAGAAAAGATTTCTGAGTTGAGCAAAACCGTTTTTTAAATTGCTGCTTTTTAGACAGTTCGGCGTGAAACAAAATACAGCATGGCGCCAAGCAAATCAATTTCAGCAAACAGAGAAACGATACTTTTGTTTTACCAGTTAATTAGTCTGTTTATAATTAGTTCACGGAGCTCTAACTTTCGCTCATACAGTTACTGCTGAAAAACAGCAAACAAATGAAAACAATCCAAAAAAAAATGTCCATTATTTTTTTGAAATCATGATTCTGGTCTAATTTCTCTGTGCTATCGGCGCAACAAGGAGCCGGGTTCTATTGCTGTTCCGACCACCGAAAGTTGGAAGGAAATTTGTCTTGGAAGGAAAGTTGGAAGGAAATGGGCTTTCTTACAGTGCTTTTTGCTTTTTTTCTCTCTTTCAAAAAAGATCAATTTGGTATTACGTACAAATATCATTTCAGTCGTTATTCGAACACCAAAAAACCCATGACAGTTATATCATTGTCGAGAAAAACAGTTGTGATTTTTCTTTTCAGTCTAATTTCGAGCGAGTAAAGCAAATAAATAACGTTTGTAATATGAAAAACGATTATTTAAACTATGAAAAAAAATTTTGCCACAATTTTTTGAAAATTTTTGTGGCAATTCATGTCAAGCTTTCGTTTGTTTGTAGTTGAATTTTAATAACGGAATAAGTTTTATACAATATCGTGCACAGAAAGCAAGGTTTTTCGAAAAAAAAATTGAAAATTTTGTCAATCTTTTTTTTAGTTGGACCAAATTGATTTTCATGGCTCTCCGAAAATACTATAAGGACCCTATTTTGCAATATAATTCCAATATAAATCATATTATTTCAAACAAATATCATATATAAATTTTGGAATAAAAACAGACTCAAACTGACGTTTTGAGCATTTTGAAAAATATTGGGCCAAAAAAATTGCGTTTTTTTTTGCGAGCAATCCCCCTTTAAATTTTGCAGCCAGAATTGAGGGCCGGGAAAGCGGTCTCTAAAACTTTCTGAGACAAGTTGATGGATGGCCATATGCTTGTATCTGATAAGAGCAACTTTTGTATCTAATGTATTTGAATAAAATAAGTATTCGATCTGCATTTTAGTCCACGCTTACTTGGACTGAAGGGAGGTTCCACAGGAGTCAGTTGTAGCAACTCATCTTCAGTCGACACCCCCTCAAGCTCCACCCAACTCAGACCCCGCTCCCCCTCCCCTTCACAAAAGGCGCAATGTGGGTCTTTAAAAAACGCTTCAACCGAGAACAACAGTGACGGGGGTGGGGGTTGTGGAAACAGTGGTCTGGGGGGAGTCGGGGCGATGGAGAATGTAGTGATGCGCTCTTTCCTCTCAGTGCTCGACGAAGCCAGGTAAAGTAGACTGCCTTGTTGTCCTTTTGTCTCAGATTCTACACCCCAGCACCTAAATAGATCTATTTAACCGACTTCGACTATCACAAAAAAGTTTTTCAACAAGTCTAGTTTGGTTTTGGTATAATATGAAAGCCCTGTTGGTCGACATTCGTATTTCTAAGAAAAATATCTTAGTTTCGAGAAAAACTGGTCGAAAATTTTGGCTCTTCAGATTGATATTCAGTCACTTTTTTGGCAACTAATCGTAGTTAAACAGTTCTAACACTACTTTTTTTCCGGTTTTATACGCATTTGTCCAGCTTCATCACACACACAAGAAAACGGCACTAACTAATGCGAAGAAAAAAGAAAAAAAATAATTGCGTCTTTTTACATATTAAGCCCAGAATAAAAGCAAATTTACCTTTTTGTGATCACTTTTGGGCAGAAAAATGTGACTTTTCAGCTAAAAATAGGGTGTACGCTACGAGGCAGGGGCGGATCGAGATATTTTTTGATGGGAGACTTTCACAAAACTTTTGGAAATTTTGTCAATCAATTTTTTTAAGTGGAACAATTTGAGTTTTCGAGCTCTCCCTTATTCCTATAAAGACCCTATTTGACAAGTTTTTTTTTGTATAAGCATTCAATATTTTGAACAAAAAGGCCAAAAAAGATGTTTTTGGGCACTTTTTGGTAATTTTTGACTAAATACTTTTTTTTGGCATGCGGTTCACCGCAAATTTAGTATATAATGGCACCGTAAGCGCCCTTAGAACAATTTCAGGCTTGTTCAGCCAGAAAAGTAGATAGAAGCTACAAACTTTTAATAGGTTTTGGTGAATCGTTTATCAACTTTCTCCTTGATTAGTCCCCTAAATTAAATTATTAATATCCCAAAAAAAGGTTATCACTACTGAGTGATTTTTGTTCTCTTGAAAATCTTCTGAATAAACCATTCTGTTAATTTTTGCGCCTGCATAAAGCTATGAACAAAGTTTTTGTTCCGACCGCTGAAAATGAAGAAGAACTTTGTATTCGTTCTTTTTTTGTTTTTTTTTCTGTTTATTTCAACGAAAAATCAGGAACCACAAATAATCTCGAATGTTAAAACTTTTTACATTGTGATTTGGACTAAAAAACCTTTAATCGTTTTCTCAGTATCAAGAAATACCGGTTTAAAATTTTTGAGTTTTGTCTTTTATTGAGCGAGAAAAGCAAGCCGTTAATGTTCGTTTTATAAAATTGAAATAGAAATAATGTGAAACCCTTTTAATGATTTTTTTAAAAGTTTTTTTTCTAACTTACTTTTGTTGACAATTATGCCAAAACTTATTTTCTTCGCGTTTTTATTTTTCTTTCATCACACCACGCATAAAAAATTACACTAATTTGATGACAAAAATGTAATTTTGTTAATGTGGTAAGAACAATCTGTGCTAATTGCACAGCAACCGGCTATTCTTGTTCAATTTGGTTTTTTGAACCTTATCGGCTAATTTCAGTCAATCAGGCTAAATCACAGTAGTTTCAGTTAAAAAATTCAAATTTGATTTTTGGGCGAAATAATTATTAAAAACCCCTCTAATCGAGGCAGTACAACAGTGCCGGAGTAAACATTGCGGGAAAATAAAAAGTTCAACCGTGCCAAAAATGATTAATTTTTGGGCAATGTTGAACATTTTTTCAGTTTCAGAACTGCTTTACTTCGGCGCTGTTGTATGCGGCTTCTCTATTCTGCACTCATTTTCAGTTCTATCTAGAAAATTCAAAATTATGTTGTGTTTCAATTGTTCATATGGCATTAATTACTTCTCCGGACAAATATTTTAATCAGAGACTGAAATTGAAAAAAAAAATCAAATAAACTAGATTTTTGCGAGGCCTGAGCAAAAGTTATCAGATTAATGAGAGTTTCGGGACCGAGCTAACGTCTTCCCCCCTAAAATAGTTGAGATGGGGGATGTTCTAAAGATGGAATTTTCAGCCAATCAGAATCGGGTGTTTTACCCGCAGAGTTAAAAACCTATCAAATGAGTTAAACTGGTGTGCTGGAGGATCTTAACATGTGATATTTATAGAGGATGATGTTTAAATTGGTCCGAATTTAGTTCAATTTTTCAGATCCAGGAATAGCTCGATAAGACCTAGCAGCACACAGTCTCTCGTACCGCAAATCGGTAAAACCACCGACGAAGAAGATAGCAATAATAAACACTCGGTCAAAGTGTCCAAGCGAAATCCGAGTCCGAACCGACTCACTGTCGACTCGGCTACCGACCGCCGAAGTTCCACAATGGGCAGTTTCTTCCGACGTCGGCTGAGCATAGACGCACACAGTGCCCCCACCAGAAAGTTAAGTGTTGTGAACAGCAATATGCTTAGCAACAATCCTGAGTCATCGTCACGTGAGAGTGTGTCCAGTTCAGCGACGGGTTTGAACCGAACCAATTCGGGTGAGATTCTGCAATGCCCTCGTTGCAAGTACGTATAAAATAAGACTAACCATGGTAGGTTGACTTCCATTGCATATATGCCATACACTGTTCACTTATGGTGCCATACTTTTGAGATAGGGACCAGTGCAAAATTTATAGACCATAAATAGTACTCGGCTCGCCTGATATCATAGATGAACATAAATGATTGCCTTTTTGCCATATATGGAAACTAAAGGTTCAGTGTTGCATGTTGCACTCATTGGTTAAATAGTTGTGACCATATCTGGTCAAAAAACGTGAAGAATTTTTAAAACAAAAATTAACACTAGACGAAGGAAAAGCTGATTTGAAAAAGCTATCATGCAAGAATTCTCCGGTTAAAATTTTTTACTGCTCATCAAAGCTACTTTAGCACTGAGCAAACTCCAGCAAACCAACCAAAAATTTTTTACGAAGTTCAATCATAATATATGGACAAAAAACCATAAAAACAACAGAAAATGAAAATAACACATAAAAAATTATAAGTTCACCATATTATAGGACTTTTAAATTATTATTGCGCGGGTTATAATTTCCTGGGGTGGGGGTATAATGTGAAACAGCCGAAAAACCTTATATGAGTAGGCAGGGGCAAATTTTCGAAGTTCATTTTCCGAGCTCTCACAAATCACTATAAAGACCCAATTTTGACCAAGTTTTCTGCGCCGCAAGCAATTTATTTGAAAAAAGCAGGTCAAAAAATGAGTTTTTAGCCCTTTTTGAAAAATTTTTACCAAAAAATGTGTTTTGTTTTCAGCGCGTGCTCCCCCCTCAGATATAGTAAATATTGGCGTCAAAGGCCAATAAATCCACTTCTTCTTGTGATCAATTTTCCTAAACTAATGGAGTTTAAAGATTGCCAAGTTGACCAATTTGGGACAATTAACGCGTAATATGAGGCACTTTTAGAAAAAACCTAGGGCCCTGTCAGCCGAAAGAGATCTAAAAATCGTAATGAGGGGGAACCGTATTGCGACAACTCGCAAGAAAAGACAACTCCAATGAAAGACAACTCGCATTGAAAGACAACTAGCAATATACTCACCGCCGCAGTCGCGCCAACGTGTTGCGAGCTTGCCAACAGAGGGTAGGACTTTATACGAAATTTGAAGCCCGTTATCGCCGCGAAGCGGCGACGTGCACCTAGCGCGCCCACCGGCGACCTTAAGCCGAGAATATAAAGTTTCCAATTAGCTTCAAAAACTTGCGAGTTGTCGTTTTCCTTAAACTTTGCGAGTTGTGGCGGTACCAGGGGGACCCTTTGGGTCGGCAGGGGGTCGAATCCCCCCCACCCATTAACCCGCTGGTGTACGTAGGTGTCAACTGGTCAGATCGGGGGGCAAATGGGTGGATCAAAGCGACAAAAACGGCAGTCGAAGACAGAGCAGCGTAGTGGGGGGAAGTCTGCTCGACCTACAACCACTACTTCAGAACAACAGTGGGGGCAATTCGAACAAGAAGAGTAGCGGCGATTGGGGCGGCGGAGGCGAGCCCTTGAAGCCCAAGTACGCTTCTGCTATCATTCCATCAGCCATCGCTCAACTTCTCAACATGAACACTGTAAGTCGATTTGGTTAAATTCAATAATTTTTATATTTCATGGCTCTTTTTGGCTATTCTTACAATGCCCCCCCCCCCCCACCCATCAGATAAAAACCTTATTTTTACAAAGTTTTGTAATTAAGGACTGAATGTGCCAGTAAATAAGTAGTGAATGTAAAACGTCAAGAAAAAGTACCTTAAAAATAAGAATAGGACCGAGAGCGGTAGAAAAACCCTTGTTTCCAGCTTTCTAGCCGCTTCTGTAAAACAACTACTAAAATTCACTAAAATTTAAACTTTGCATGCTAGAAAAGTTTTCATAAAAGTTGGCTGGCATCTTTCATTTGATTTTTTTTAATTTTCTAGTTTTTGAAAAAAGGCGAACTGTTTTTACTCAAACTTGAGCTCAAAGCATGAAAAAATGGTCTCACGAAATTTTTCTGTTAAGTTACGGGGACTCAAAATCGCTAATTGGGACTGCGGGGTAAATTTTATACCTGTGAAGCTCCTAATTTCTATTAACTTTTTCCTTGGGCGTTAATTTTTTATAATTATCAATTCTTAACCTTTTCTCGGTCATCTGAGCAGATATTTGGATTCATTTGGCTTCAAAATGAAAAATAAATATTATGCTTTTTTTACGGGTGCTTATGAATTGCAAAGCCCTATTTTTCAGTTTTCTTTTAAGTTAAGCGGTAGCATACATAATTTAGCTCAAAAATCATTTCAAATTGAATTGAGGCAAGCTAATTGTTCCACATAACGCGATATCAAATAGAAACAGGGATAGCCGGTTACTGTGCAAGTAGCACAGAATGTTCCGACCATAGTCTTAAAAAATACACCAAAATAGTTTTTTCAAATTAGTGTCGCTTTTAGCTGCTTGAGGGATAAAATGATCTGAACGAAAAAAAATAGGCCTATTTGACAGCCATAGTAAAATAAGCAATTTAAAAGACAATTTTTGAAGAAAAACGACTAGGGAAACGAAAAATAAATTTGAAAAAAAATTTCAAAAATTTTTTCATTTTTTTCAGTTTTTTGAATTTTTGCTGTTTTTGATTTCAAAAAGGCACTAAAATAATAAAAAAAACTATGTTTACTAAATTATAACACATTTTTTACGTTTTAAATAGATTTTTATTAAGCTTTTAAGCCATTAAAATAATCTACTCTTAAAATAAGCCTGTTTGCTTGCTTTATTCGATCAAATTGCGACAAAAAACCAAAATTTAAAAACTTCAAACCGGTTTTTAACGACACTGGGATATTTTTTTGGAATGTTTCAAAGTCGTTCAAATCACGACTGCAAGAGTTTTTTTTATGACAAATCACTCAACTCTCTCCGATGATTATTTGTCTAGCTGATTTTGCGTGGAAAACAATTAAAAGAAAAACTAAAACACACCCGAATACAAAGTTCTTCCCCATTTTTCACTTTGCACTTGATATTGCGTGTGGGTAGAAAAGTTGCCAAAGAATGAAATGGTTTTGACCATAAAAACTCCAGATTTCCTAGTGAGCACTCGGAACCAGGCGCGTATCTAGGAATTTCTCGAGGAAGGGGGCGGATTATCAAAAATTTAAGACTTTTGCGCGCTCCACCCTCAAACTTAGTATAGATTGGCGGCTAAGGCACCTTTAAAAAACTTTTAAGGTCAGTCAGCCAAAAGTGGGTATCCCAAAATAGTATCGAGGGGGCCCTTTGGGTTGGCAGGGGGTCGAATCCCTGAGGGGGGAGGGGGGTGGACGCTACTGCTCGGAGCATTCAAAGTTTTCACCTTGACTAATGAGATTTGATACAAACAGTCAGATATGTGATCATAGTATAGTTGATTAAGATACAACTTATACATTGCAGGGGTTGATTTGAAGGCGGGCTTTGGCAGTAATCGTTCCGACTTCCAGAAATTGGACGTTGTAGCCGCCCAAAGGGATTCCTCTTGGTAACCTCTTGGTACTACTGTATAACATCCACTTTTAGCTTACCAAACCTAAAATTTTTCTGGGGATAATAATTGCAAATTATAATGTGGAGCGCTAAATTTTGATCAAAACCTTCGATAATTTTTCAAAACCACTTTTTTGGTTCATTTTTGCAAATTTTATCTGTAGCGCAGAAGCTTTTGATAAAGTTGGGTGTTTTTGGCGTTTTCACAAAAACTCAGAAATCAACATGGTCAACTAAATAATCTTCTAAGTTTATTATTTCTATATAAAAATTGGGATCAAAACTTTCCATTTAAGAAAAAATCCTACGCCCCCCATCCCATCGAGAAATTCCTAGATCGGCCCCTAATCCACCGCTCAATCAAGTCATGGATACAATTCAATAAAACCCTCTTTTATGCAATCAGTTTCATTTATACAAATATGGGCGAATGACAAGGAAACGGGGTCGGATCTAGACAGTAAAATTAATAACGAACTAAACAAACAAATTGAAGACATTTTGGCGACAGATTGATTGTTTCACAATTTGCTTGCTCTCAAATCTAACGAAAGTAAGACTAAATGCTGTAAAAAATTGTTATTCAACATTCGGCTAATAATTTTCTTCCAATTGGGCGTCTTGCTCCGCTTTGTTTGCTTTACCGTCTCTCAGAATTGTCTATTAAGTTCATTTTCCGGATCAGACCCGTCTCCTTGTCATTCACCCAGATATGTTTTGTTTGGGGACTGACCGTTTAGCAGACCAATTTTTTAACATGAAAAGTAAAAAATGAGTCTTTTCGCAGACCAAACGGAATAAAGTGATGCATGATTGATTGACAGACTTCCGCCTTGGGTTAAGCCTCCCTAATTAAGACAATTATTTCACGATTTGTCATTAAAACTATCAATTTTGAAAACATCAATAGTCCAAATTAGCCAAGCGGTCGCTAATCGCCAATGCCGGGTTTGAAGTTAGCGTTCTGACTTGCTAATTGTTCTGAGTCTGCTAAAACGTTGGTCTCCTAAAAAACTGGCCTGCTAAAATCTCTAGCACCGTTTTGTTTCCTTTAAAGGAAGAGAATGGGAAGAGGAACTGCGGCAGTCTGCACTTCAGAATCAACTACGACTTCTCCAGACAGACTTTGTTGTGTTCAATCATAGAAGCCAAAGACCTTCTCGCCAAAGACAGGGGGTAAAAAAAAGAGGGACTCTTTGGAGCGCTGGTGGGGGGGGGCTGAACGTTTTTTTAACAACTTTGACCCCCAAAACGTCTCTTTGGCACTGTTTCACAGAAATTTTGGCCAACCTACTTCAAAGCTTTCTTAAGGTGCTAACTCTGGTAAAATCCCCTTTGAGAAAACTCCAGATCCGCCCCTAGCGACGAATAGCTGCAAACCGGGTTGATCTAAACAAACTGTCGTTTAAAATTTTCCATAAAAGAAGTGAAAACTCGCCTGTAAATACAAATTTTTGCATGAAAAAAAAACTCATGTAAGGACATTTTTGACGGTCAATTCATTGTGAAATATACTTCGAATCAGTTATTCGGTTATAATTGTTTCCTTTAGAGATTTTAAATTTCACAGCTCGTCAGTGTTCTCCAAAGTAGAGTAGTGAATTAAGGTGAAATTAAATGTGTGTTTTCATAGAGGCACCAGTGACCCTTATGTGCGAGTGAGTTTGCTGCCGGACTCTAGCAAGAAGAAAAGACAACAGACCAAGGTCGTCTTCCGGTCACTCAGCCCCTCCTGGAACGAGACACTCGTGTTCAATGGTAGGCCAAAAAATTAAAGATAAAAAACTACTCACAGTGTAAGTAGCACAAAAAACTCCCATCCGGATGTGAACTTCATCGGGGCAGGTTTGCTTGATTTATTTTATGCCGACCAAAATCAAAACGGAGGCCAAATTGTAGTTTTTACGATTTGTAAAAGAAATTCGCTACAGCGAAAATTGCTTTGGCGTTGAAGCCGCAACACGGTTAACACGGTTATATTTCGTTGATCTTTTGGCTCTATTGGAATCCGGAGACAAATGGTCAAATAATCGTAGCTCAAAATTGTTCCAAAAGCAGCAATATTTGCGGAATCCGGAACAATATTAGCGGCAAATAGAACGATTTGTTTATTTCTTAAAAAATCAACAATAGCCCTAAATGTTCCGAACGCCCCTTGTTGCTATTGAATATTTATTGGCAAAAAAATTTAAAAAAAAACTTTTTATTTTAAAAATTTTAATTTTTGAACAATATCAAGCAGCAATTTGAGTGGTACCAAATTAATACGACCGATTAGCCTGCCTCAAATGAATTTGGAACAATTTTGTAGAATGGGATCATGCTTTTGGCATCATAAATAAAATCTTCACAGCGCTCATAAAATAGTCCATAGTATGACCAAAATTTCAGACTTCTAACCCTCAATACTTAACTAAAAAAAAATGAAGGTGACAAATTTTCAGTTGTGTATGAAAAGTTTGAAGCAAAAAATATTAACTCGATCGCTGAAACTTGACTGAATGAAAAACCACGCTAAGCTTTTTTCAAAAGTCGCTACAAAAAATATGTGTAACGGATTGCACGGTTGCGGAGTCCTTTCACAAATTGCGGATTTCGCTGAAGTTTTTGCAAAATCTAATTACAAATGATAAAGCCGCATCATTTTGCTGTGTTTGCTAGTTGCGCGTTCCGCAACGCAACTAATTATCCGGCAAACGAGGTATTTGGACGTGGTTTCCGCACCAATTTGGAGCATGGATTCCATTTAGATTTCGCAAACATGTTCAAAGGCCTGTTTCTGGATTCTAGAAGCTTCTCAGCTCTCCCAAGTTGCAGTTAAATTTATTTTGGTTAAATTATCTGCGCCTCAGATTGATTTATTGAAGCAAAAACTGGGCTAAAAATAAACGCTGACCAGATATTTTATGAAAAATTTGACCGAAAAAAAGCCTATTTTTGCTCTCTATGCCCGTCTTCTTTTTATTGCATGTATCTGGTACTCGAAAATATTTCCTTTTTGATTGTTCCCCTGTGACAAACATTTTTTGTAATTATAATGGATAGAAATAAATCAGTCGGAACAAAGCACATCAGTCGTCTTGTTGCTATAACCCCAAAAGGCAAAATTTTGTTGTTCTGATGTTCAAACTTTAAAGATCAAAACTTTCAGTTGTGTCGATTTACAATAAAAAAAACGTAACATTTAATATCAACGTAGTATTTTAGTGTAAATTTAGTCTCAGTCCGATCTGCAAAAGAAGAACAAAAGCATCCCTTTTCCAAAATCCATTGATCGTTTTCAAATAAAAAAAATAGGAATGCATTCATCCAGCAATGAAATATTTTCTTTGAAGCCACAATTCCTAATGAAGATTACTAGTTTTAAATAGCTTTTTGTTATAGCAAAATAGCAGCAATTGTTAGTTCCTGAATTCCACATTGGGTATTTTTGTTGCAAGTTTTTTGATATCTCTTATTAGTTAAATTAAATGATGCGCAAAACTCAGATCTCTGGATCGGTCAATAGTTTTTCGTCAATATTTTGAAGATTTTGATTGTTGAAATCCGATGCTGCACCAAGGTATTTAAGTAAGCATTATCAAAACAATCCATTCTGCAAGCATCGTCTTGATTTGATGAAAAAATTAGACCGCTTATTGTCATTAGTAAAAAACGATGATCTGCAAAATTGTCAAAAACGACCAGTCTTGAATTTACAGCCAAAACGGGCGAATTTTGCATTGACATGTCCTATGACTTTGTATTGACAATTTTAATCATATGACCTGCTTAAATTAGCATTTATTTTTTCCATTTTTATATTTCGTGGTGCAAAATTGGTATGAACAGCGAAGAAATCACCTTACATGTAGCTATTTTAGTTACTACGAGGCTCCTGTCTGAAAAACTACAAATATCATTGCCTACCAATTATTTAAATCAATGAAAACAAAAAACTAAAATTAGAAAAAAGAGGCTCCTGTCTAGAAACCTGTCAATATCATTGCTTCACGAATATTTAAATCAATGAAAATAAAATTAGAAAGAAAAATGCGAACCAACGATGGGTTGAATTGGGCAAAGAATACAGCGAAGGCGGAAAAAGTATATGATAAACTATTATATAAACCGGACGAATGCATTTTCGCGGTGTGTTATTTGGTTTGCTCAACCAACAAAAATTGGTAACACTACAAAAATTTATAAAATTTTTTTATGATGTGCTCAACTTCTCGGGCAAATGGTCACGTGCATCTTATCATTTTGCCTGCTCTGGTTTTTTTGCAAAAGGTATTGAGCAGTTTGACCTTATGTTTTCTGCTGGTGAGTTTTTCAAGCTCAAATTTAAATTTTTTCTTGCTATTTTTAGATTCTATCGACTTCCTTTTTTCCTTATTTGTACAGCAAAACGGTGCAAGTACTATAATATGAAAATAAAACTATTTTGAAAATAACAATATGAACTTGATTGATGTGTAATTGGACGACTTTGAAAGTTTTTGAAAACATCTACAACTTGTCTACTGACTGAATGAATTGATTTTAATGGTCCTTCAAACCATCACTCCGTACGGCAAAAAATAAGCTCGAAAGCCGTGAACTAAATACAAGATATAATACTCCACGTGTTTAAATTGTAGTTTAAAAAATTGTATAAAACTTCTAAGATAAGCGTTTTTATACTTGAAAAAGATGTGACTAGCAATTTTCTATAAATAAAAATTGTATGACAAGCATTTTTTCCATATAAAAAAGTTTGAGGTTGCTTCAATTGTTTTTCGTTTTATCCGAAAACACGATAGCCAAGGGTTATCTCAAAAACTCAAAGATGACATAGCAAAAATCGAACAGGTCAATTTCATGCAAGGATATGCCATGAGAAGACCATTCCATTATAATCAAAGCAAATATTCGTTTTAACAAAAGATATATCAAGTTTTTACATAATAAACTCAGTTTCGAAATTTACAGTGAATTATAAAAAATAAAATTTGCAACAGCTAAAATGTTTAATTTTTAGCTAAAAACCGGGTTTTTTGGTAAAAGTTCACTAGTTGAAACCGTTGACCTAGTTCATTGACAAATATATGAACTTTGCACACAAAAATATCATTATACATTAAAAATTAGCGAAAATTGAATGTTGACAGTTATAGAAAAAGTGAACAATTTTGCATGCAAAAATTTTTTTCGGAAAAATTTTGCATGAGCATAGAAATGATTTTTTCTCTAAATTTTTGAAACCTTGCTGAAAAGTTTTTTGTAGCCAAGCAAAAATGTCCATCTTTCATTTTTCATAATATTTCCATTTTCAGTTTAGACTCCGCGCATTGCATTGAATAGCAAGCGTTTTTCTTGTATGGAAATTTTTGATCATATGACTAGCAGTTTTTTTGGAGGTCAAACCGGATCATTTGCGAAATCACTTCATCAAAAACCCGAAAACATTTGGTACAAATATTGCTGCTTTTGATCATAGATTCCAAGTCCGCGACTAATATTTAGAATCCATATAGCCTAAAGTGCTGGCTTAAAGTATATGAAAAAAGAGTACAAATTTGGCAACGTTAAACGCATTTTTCCTTAACAAAAAGTGAACACAATTTTAGCAAAATTACATTGGGTTTGAAGTACATTTTTGAGCCCGACTTTTGCCAAATAAGTTGCATCATTTTAATTTTGCAACCATTTTAAGCAAGGTTTATCAAATCAATTTTTGAATAAAGTCAACCCAAGTTGAAACGAAAGCGTTTCAAATTTCTAGTTCTTGGTCGTTTTGTCCGGATAATTCAAATCAGCACTGTATTTTGCTGATTTTAATTACCCGGACACAACAAAAAGGTACTATTTTACTTGTTTGGTCCCTAATAAAACCAAGGTACAGTATGTGGCTAATTATAACGGTACGCATTTTTACTTCGCTATATTACTGTCAAAACGGGCTGTTAGTCAAGCGGTAACGAATCCGGTTACCAACCGCAAGGGGCGTAGGTTCAAATCCCGTGCTGGCTGTTCTTTTTGAGAAAATAGGCCTGACCAATCATCTAAACTAGTTTTTTCACGGGACCAAACAAGTAAACTAGTACCCAAAAAACACCATGAAAAAAATAAATTGATTTTTTCTCAATTTGGCTCAGTTTTAGACAAAAAATGAAGACGACAAATCTTGTTTAGAATTGCAGCGAAAATAGTATGAAACTATATGTTTTGCAAAATTCGGACTATTTTGCAGAGCCTATTTTCAAATCATACCCCGAATAATTTGTAGTTTACGGCTACTATTTTACAGACTATCAGTTTGGAAATTCAATGTTTCAAACTTTGTACTTGACTTTAAACTCAATTCCGGACTACGCATTTTTAGTCGCAGAATTAAGATCGGCGCGACTTTGGATTGTCAAACAATAAGTCGCGGATCTCGACCCGGGTAATAACAATCGATGAATTGATAGTCATTACTTCTTGGGAACAATCGAAAGTCGTCGTATAGAGCAAGAACGGACTTTGAGCTCTTTTATGGGGGCGTTGGCGCCGTGAAAGCAGTTGCAAAACTTTTCAATCGATAAGAGGGTTTAATTTTCTAGGCACTTAGACTCCCCGAAGTGGTGATGAAATTCTGTCGATTCGAAATCGATGGAAACAATCGTCTAGACTACTTAATTGCTGACTTCAGATATCTATTTTCGAAGACAACTCTTACAGAATATCAATTTCTCTTTGATTAATTTGACTTGTCGTAAAAGACCGACCGGCACCAATTTTTTTTTCGTGCTCTC